GGTGGAACTCTGCATCTCTCAGCAGAATCCATGACAGAAGAATTCACACTCCAAACCAGAATCAAGCCTGTCCAGAGTCGCTGGGCAAAAATACACCCTGGAAACCCAACAGCCACTCTTATATTACACTTTTCGCAAGAGACAGCAGTAAACCTGCCATCAAAAGTGGAACTATATGGATATCAAAGACCAGTGATCAGAAAGGCACCTAAGGTCAAAATACAACAATGCAGCAAATGCTGGGGATTTCATCAAGAGAGATACTGCCTCCGCGTCCCTCGCTGCAAAAAATGCAGTTCTAAGAATCATGTGAAAGGAAATCCATCCTGTCATAAGGAGAATGAAGCATGTGGATGCCCCAATCGCTGCACTAACTGTCTTGGACCACATGCCGCGGATGATCCATCCTGCCCCGCCAGACCAGGGATAAAGAATGGGACTGTTCAAAGGCACTCAAGAAACCAGCTGAGGGATATCCGCAATGCACAGAGTAAGGCATACTTGGCCAAGGCAAGTAACAGCAAATGCGGTGGTCGAGGGCCATCAGCAGACCTGAGGTTGAATGATTCTACTGAGCATAGATCTAACCTCACACCGACATCAAACACAGCACCAAGCACAGCATTGAGCACAGCATCAGGCACAGCATTAGGCATGGCGCCCAACCCAACATCTAATGCAACACCCAACACGTCATCTCACGCAACAACACCCTCCTTTCAGCTACTCAATGAAGAAGAACTCTAGATCTCCGCAATTCCTGCAGATTATGCAAGTCAACGTAGGAAAAGGGGGCCCAGCACACGAGACGGCCCTCAATCTAGCATTTGAAAGAAAGACTGACATCCTTCTCATACAGGAACCCTGGATTCACAGGAACTTAAGCCAACGCATCTCCAAAAAGCATCCAGCATTCAACTGCTTTGCCCCAATTGAAAAGTGGGACAGGAAGCCACGGGTCCTCACCTATGTGCGTAAACACCCACAAATCCATGCTCATGCAGTCCCAGGCCCCTGGGCAGAAAACCAGGACATCCACATGCTGCACATACAGGCCTGGGGTCTACAGCTTCAGACAGTCAACATATACAATGCACCCCCAGGCGCAGAGGATCCTGGACAAGGTGTGGGCTGTCTTCTCTCCTGGTCTGTCCCAGCACTCCCATTGCTCCTTGCTGGCGACCTCAATATCAAGCACCCCGTGTGGCAACCAGGAGTGCCTCCAAGCATGTGGGCGGAACCATTCCTGCAATGGACCATGAATTTCAACTTTACTCTCACCATGGACCCAGACACTCCCACACGTGGGCATAACATGATAGACCTGGCCTGGGCCACCCCGGAATTAGTTATCAAAGGAGTGGACACACAGGTGGACAGATCCCTTTACACTTCCTCTGACCACCAGACTCTTCTCACCAAAATCAGCCTTCCACAGGGCGCAAGGCCTGACAGGCCAACCCATTTTTTCCGTCTCAACACCATGAATGAGAAGGTCTTTAACCAGACGCTGGAGGCCTATAAGCCAAAACTAGACAAACTATGTGATTTCCCAGAGTACCCCAATACAGATCAGCTGGATGCCCTGGCTAAAGGTATCACAGATGCACTAATAGCTTCCCTGGAAAGTTCCACCAAGAAGAGCACCGGGCAAGGCACAGGTCAGCCATGGTGGAATGAGGACTGCCAGAAAGCAGTGACAACACTACATCGTGCACAGCGCCTAGGCTCTAGTTTTTTATGAGAAGCAAAAAGCAACGTAGCCAGGACCACCAGGAAAGCCAAGAGAGAATACTGGCGAGGCAAGATAGCAGAGGCCTCAGTGGGGAAAGATATCTTTAAGATGATCAAATGGGCCCATTCAACTGGCTCCTTTCATTCCCCCCCTCTTGTAGATGAAGAGACTGGGCGAACGCGAACAACCCCTAGAGAGAAAAGAGACCTTCTGCAACGGGTGCTCTTACAGAAGGCTGCAAGCAGAGAGGATATCCCAATTAGCTGGTCCAACCCACCATCTGTCAAATTACCTTTTCCTGTTGCCTCAGCACATGAGATACAAAGTTCTCTGCTGAACACGGGTAATACCACTCCAGGAACTGATGGAGTGCCAACAGAGGTGCTACGAAAGGCATGGCCACATATTAAGGTATCAGTGGAAAGGCTGTTCAGAGCCTGCCTTAGGGTTGGCTGGCACCCAACCTCCTTTCGAGATGCCACACTGGTTGTGCTGCCTAAGGTCAACAGAGATCCAACACTCCCGCGATCCTACAGGCTTATAGCCCTTCTCTCAACGTTGGGGAAGGGACTGGAACGCCTGGTAGCCCGTAGGCTGGCCTGGACAGCTATACAAGAGAAGATTGTCCACCCCCAGCATTTTGGAGCCCTCCCTGGGCGGGCTGCCTCAGACCTAGTGGCAGCGATGGTTCATGATATAGAGGAAGCCTGGGCCCATGGAAAAGTAGTCTCTCTTCTTACTCTGGACATCAAGGGTGCTTTTGATGCTGTACTCAGAGGAAGGATGCTGCGGAGATTGCAAGAACAAGGCTGGCCACCAAATTTAATTAGATGGGTGGAAAGCTTCATGACAGGACGCACAGGCAGGATCAGATTGGATGGACTCCTGGGAGAGCTCTTTGATATCCCAGCAGGGCTTCCACAAGGCTCGCCAGTCTCACCTATTCTATTCATGCTGTTTATTCAGCCTCTGTTCTTTCTAGGAACTATACAAAGAAGACGTGCACGCTTAGGCTACGCAGATGATCTAGGACTGCTTAGTGCTGGAACCACTCTTGAAGGGAATGTTGTTACTCTCCAGGAGGATTTCAAGTTGCTAAATGATTGGGCCAGCAAAGAAGGGCTGACATTTGATTTTGCCAAAACTGAGATAGCACACTTCACATGGCGCAGAACCCTTTCAAACCCCTCAATCAACCTTGAAACAACATCTGGCACTCACTCTATTACAGCAAAGGCAGTGAAAAGCTCCATAAGATATCTAGGAATCTGGCTAGATAGAAAACTGAGCTTCAAGAAACACGTGGAGACCATGGCGGCTAAGGCACGACAGGTGTCTAATGGCATACGAGCACTAAGCAACACAGCAAGAGGCGCCCCAGTACAACTGCTTAGACAATCCATTCAGGCCTGTGTGCTCTCTGTGCTCTGCTATGGAGCAGAGGCCTGGTGGCCTGGAGCCACACGAATGGAGAAGGGAAAGGAAATCTCCAATCGAATGGATTGCCTAGTCAGAAAGCTAGATCTAGCCCTTAGAGATGCTTGCGAGGGGCACTGCCAGTCTACAAGACCACACCCATTTCAGCTCTACACCGTGAGCTAGGAATCATGCCAATGAAAGAGACACTAGACAACCGGCGTGCTGTATTTGCAGTAAGAATCAAAAAGCTTGACAAGAGGCACCCGCTAGTGAGACGCTCTAATAAAGTAGCTACCACCAAACCCTATACCACACGTCTGTCTAGAGCGTCCAGTCATGCTGGTGGGATAGAAGCATATGACCCTCTACTCACGCCCCCTTGGATGAGATTTCCCAGGAAAGAAGATCTGCAGATTGGGTATGTGGCAGGCCGCACAAAGGAACAGGCAGCACAAGACTTTAAGAGCTGGCTACAACAACGCAATCCCCTGGATCTGGTGGTCTTTACCGATGGTTCACAGATAGAGCACCCTCAGCGTGCGACTGGTGCAGGATGGGCTATATGCTGGGGTAGCGAACACCGTCTAATCTCCACAGGAAACCTGCCAATGGATAAAGCAGAGGTCTTTGACGCAGAGGCAATGGCAGCCCTGCAGGGCCTAAAGGAAGCCACCACCTCGCCTCAGGCGAAGTTTGCCAGCAACGTCTACATTTGCCTAGACAATTTGGAGGTAGCACGAGCCCTTGGATCCGTGCCAAACACCTCTAGCCAGCAGGTCTTCGCGCAGTTTCTGAAAGCCATAAAGGCCTGGCAGAGCAGGGATAGGCTCCCATTGGCCACCCAGAGCAGGGTGGTCATTAGATGGGTCCCAGGCCACGCAGGCGTGGCTGGTAATGAAAAGGCAGATCTTGAAGCCAAAGCAGCCGCAGCGCAGGCAGCAAGTGCAAGCATGGTACCTCAACCTGACAGCATAGGCACTCTAGCTTATATAAAGCGACACACTATGGAACAAACCACACGGGCCTTTGAGAACTACTGGGCCAAAAATCGGCCCAAACGCTATATGGAGCTGGAGATCCCACTAAAGAGAGCCTCAACAGAGGTAAAACTTTCACGTTTCACATTAGGAAAGCTCTATGCCGCCCGATCAGGTCATGGAGACTTTGCAGCCTACCACAGCCACCTTAAGCATGAAGATGCAGAGTGCTACTGCCGGTGTGGACATAGCAAAACTCCAGAACATTTCTACTATTGCACTCTTGCAAGAAAAGCAGCAAAGCGGCGCCGGCCTATCTACAATCTCCGTGAGACACTGGCAACCTCGCGTGGGGCCCTAGAATTCCAATAACTGGCTAAAGAGAAACAGCCTTCTATCAGAATATCTGTCCAATGCGCCCGTCGCGCACCCTCCAGATCAGATCCCACAGACCATTCTCTCCTCTGTCTTGCCCCCCATCTTCCTCACCACCTCCTCCTCCTTCCTCTCTTTCCTCTCCTTTCTTTCCTTCCTTGCCTTCCTTCCTATCCGCCTCCCCTACCTCCCTCCCACAAACCTAAAACCTCTCAAAACCTCTGCTCTATGGCAACCGACCCATGGGCTCTGCCGGTGCAGCAATACGCAACCCATTTTTGCCTCATTTGTAAGATAGCTACTAGATAGGTAGTCGCCTACGGGCGTAGCTCTACCCGCCCTATAGTTCGACGCGGACTCTACTAGATCACGTGCCCTTAAGGCACGTGGACTAACCGGGCGTTAAATAAAAACACACACACACACACAGAAGGTTCAACCATCCCACAGGTTATAGCCCGGATAGCTGGTTTTTAATAAAAATCATGTTAAGAATGGCTGTGTACATGTCTGGATGAGTTCACTCTCTGATCTAATGACTGGACTATCTATTTCTTTAACAGAGAGAAAGTGATCTTTACAATCGCATTCTAGAGCTGTTGGAGCGATCCCATCACTAGATGAGGACAAAGAATTAGAAGGCCTGGAGCAGGAACCAAGTTCAAACCACACCATGAATTCATCAAGCCGTGAGCCTGGCAAAATGCCCGCTCCTGAGTCTATACGCGAATTCATGGCAGCTAGTGAAGGAATTCCAAGCCCCCAGCCTCAAATGCCTACTCCTAATGCGAGTGGCATGATTACAATGAGTGTAGCAGATTTGTTGACCTTTTGCCAACAAATGACACATCAGAACACTCCAAATATCAACAATGATACACCTGTGGATGATTTCAAATCTCAGATCTGTGAATACCAAAAGGATGTCCAAAGAGCTATGGATACTAAGGCGGTAACTACATTTGATGACACTAATTACCAAACCTGGTGTATGGGAATTCTTGCGGATGCTGAAGTCATTGATGGAACTGACATTCTAATCAAGAACCAACACATCTGCCCAGATGATATTAGCCAAAACATGTTGAAT